ATTCACAAGCCAGGAATTGAGAACTGGAAGGGCACGCCGGAATGTCCTGGTAGTAGTTGTTACAGGTATAGATTGTGCAGTGTGACAGGTCTGGCCTCAGAGCCCCACGTTGTTGTCATTTCTTACCTTGGCATTTCAGCGAGAACTTGAGCAAGTGGCTGTTTTTTAAACAGGACGAGAGCCCGGTTGGTTGCTAGGCAGGAATCAGAGAGACACAGGGTGGTGACACTGGAAGGCACCTGTGACGGACAGCCTTACCAACAGGCTACCCAGGGCTTCTGGGTTGGAGCTAAGAATCACCTGCTTTGAGAGAACTGGCGTGCCAGGCTGCAAGCATGCCACAGACGGGGGAGGAGCGGCTGAGAAGCAGCTCAGGGCTGATGGCCATTGGCAGTGTGTCCAGGCTCCGGGTTGGGTCAGAGCCTGGGAGAGGTCAGGGACCCAGGAACTCACCCTTCCTGAAAGGCCTGCCCTCAGTGATCACAAGGCAAGATGCCCTGCCCTGCAGTTCTTGTCTCCCCATGCCCTGCCTCTTGCCACCTGCTGTTACACTGAGGCTGACTGCCCCCTACTCCCCATCCCCTGCAGTCATTAACACGGCTGACTGTTCTGTGGGCGGTCTAGGGGACAGCCCATCCGTGTGTCCAGGACACGATCTCCAGGCGGCCGTGGCTGTGTGTCCATGTGTTGGGGGGGGGGAGGACGATGAGCACAGCTAGGGGGAGCAAGAGGAGCCCACAGATGAGTAACAGCACATGCTGCTGCCTCTCTCTGAGTATTTTTAAACGCTAAAAATACCGGCTAAAAATAGCCCATGAGCTGCAAACAAGAACCTTTCTCTAGGCAGATTCCTGGGCCGCCCTGGGAGACGGAGGGGTGGTGCACCAGAAGTCAGAGCTGCAGAACCAAGCCCCGCTGGACTTAGGGGTCACAGTACACTCTACCCTCACCTCCCAAAAAGCAAGCCACCTTTGCGAGTCTCTGAGAGAGGCAGGCAGCGAACTGGTTAGAAGTAGTCCACAAGGTGCTCTACTGGGACCACAAGGGACCATCACCTATGGTACCTGGGCACAACCTCGCTTTGGGAGAGGCGGGAGGAGGGCGAAATTACAGGACCCCCGGAAGAGCGGAGAAGGGGGTCCTGGCAATGTCCGCTCCTAATGGGGCAGGGAGGGCGCAGCTCACGTGGACCTGAGCCCACCCTGAATCATGCCAAAGCGTGTGCCTACGCATAGGTTGTCCCCCGCCCTAGGACAGGACAGCACTTTGGCCAAGTTCTCAAAGCGACCACCTCCAGCAAGGTGAGGCAAGGTGAGGCATCAGCGCTGGCTGACCCTCGAGCCCCCGTGCCCCGGCTCCCAGCCCCGGCTCCCAGCCCCCGCCAGCGCCCGGCCGCCTCGTTGGGGTCCGCGTGCCGCGGCCGGGGGGCGGGCTGGGGGCGGGGCTGCGGCGCGGGCCCCGCCCCCGGCGCTGACGTCGCGGGGGCCGCCGGTCGGCCGGAGCGCGAGAGCCGGGCCGGGGCGGTTGGCGACGGTCGCCGGGGTCCCCTGTGCGCCGTAACGGTCAGCGCCGGGCGCCGCGGACGGCGGCCTCGCGGGCCTCGGCGTCCGGGCTGTGGGCGCTGCGCGGGGACTGCCCCGTGCCCCCGTTGCCGACGTCTGGCGTGGGGCCGAGCCCGCCGCCCGCCCCTCGCCCCCCCAGCATGCGCACCTCGTACACGGTGACCCTGCCCGAGGAGCCCCCCGCCGCCCCCTTTCCCGCCCTCGCCAAGGAGTTGCGGCCGCGCTCCCCTCTCTCCCCGTCCCTGCTGCTCTCTACCTTCGTGGGGCTCCTGCTCAACAAAGCCAAGGTACGCGGGACCCCTTCTTTCCGGGACCCCCCCCCCACGCGGAGGGTTTGGGGAGGGAGGCGCCTCTTGCCCGGGGACCGCCACGCGCCCTCGCCGGCGGAGGCACGAATCCCTCCCAGCCCCCACCTTCCGCCTCCCTGGGTCTCCCGGCAGAGGATGCCCCCTCCCCAGGTGCTGGCACGCGCTTACTCGCAGCCTGCCCACCCCCGCCCTTGAGGCCCCAGGTCCGCGTTCCTCACTCCCTCTCGGTGACCCGGGCACCAGGTGGCTCTCGGCCTCTTAATTGTTGACACCTATCAGGACAGGTGCAGAAGCGTAACCTTGACTAGAGCTGAGTGTGGTCAGGAACGGGCAGCACCTGGTCTGCCGGTGGGGGCGGGGGGAGGGGGCGTCCTCCAAGGCCAAGCCCCAGCCCAGCCAGGGAGACTGGTCCCAAGGGGGCTGTCTCCCAAGGGGTCTTTTGACCACCGTGAAGGACAGAGAAAGTACCCAAAGACGGGGGCCGCTTTTTGTCCTTACCCCTCACTGGATCGCTGAGGCGTGCAGGGGATCCCTTAAATGAAGCAGTCACCAGGCAGAGGAATGCTGGGTACTGCCCCTCTGGGGAAGCAAGAAGGGGCCCTGGGCTGGGCAGGGCTTATGTAACAGGCTCCTGTGTTGGCCATGTGTGCGCTTCCTGGTGGAGGACCCCCCTGGGCTCCTTGGCTGACCTCTCACCACGCAGGTGAAGTAAGCAGGGAAGCTCTCTCTGCACAGCCCCTCCACCATGTGCACCTGCTGATGTGGTCCCTGGGCACCCGCTTCCCAGCTGGAAGGGCACTATGGCCGTGGAGGTGGCATCTGCTCCCTTGGGCAGTGTTTGGTCACCCAATCCAAACAAGGTTCGCCACCAGTGGGCTGAGTACAAGGAAGCTCTGGATAACTTCCTCAGCTGTCTGCACCTGCGTGCTGTCCTAACAGCTGGCATCCCTGCTAGCCTGGCTTGCATAGGGCGGGGGTCTTGTGCTACCCCCTTCTCCCAGTTCTAGCCTCTCTTTCCCTCCCAATCCTGAGGTAGGATTGTTTGCCCAGGAAGGAAGGTCACTCCTGGGACATTTTGTTCATCTGGGGAATGGAAAGTGCTGACTTTTCCCTGGAGCTCCTGACTTCCAGGCACAGCAGCAGACTACCTGGCTGGGCAAAGCAGGGTTGCTCTCCCCTGCGCTGCTGGTATCCATCCACCTTCCACAGGGAGCCTCAAAAATGCCCAGAGGTTCTGATGCAGGGACATGACCCAAAGAAGCCAAGACCCAGAGTCCCAGGGATGCCTTAGGAACGACTCCCTATCCTCTCCCTCCCCTCTAGGCCAGGATCGGCTCCAGCTCAGAGCCGCAGGTGACAAGCATTCCTCCAGGCACAGCTCAGCTTGCCTGGGTCAGCCCAGTGCCGCTCACCGCCCCGCCCCCGCTGGGCCTCAGCGAGGCCTGTGTTTGTGGATATCCACAGCCTGTTGGGACAGATGTCCCCCGAGCCACCAGGGGTACAAATGAATAAAGCACTGCCAAAAATAGGTGTAAGACTGGGTGGGCAACAGGGAGGCTTTTGTGGTGGTGGTTTGGGAGTGGAACTCAGGGGACATGGAAGAACAGAAAATGCTGATAAGGTCCTTGTCCCTTTAGTAAAGATAGAATGCATTGGATTTTTGCTTATTTTATTCCAGTTTGATTTATTTTAATTATTGATATTTAAGTTGTCAAACAGTAGACATTGTTTTATTTATGATACATTTCAGCTTAGTTATTATATGACGATGTAAATATAGATTTGGTATTTTGCAAAAAAAAAAAAAAAGGAGAGAGAGAGAGAGAGAGAAAAGGTTGTTGTCCCCAGGAAGTCTTACATCAGTGTCTGAGGGTCAGTGAGGTGAGATGCCAATGCTGCCAGCCCCAGCACAGCGCTGCCAGGGTGCCATCCCCCACCTGCTGCCAGGGGGCTCCTCTGCTGCCCGCCCACGGCTGGGAACCTTCTCTTCCCTACCTGTTAGTGTCAGGCCTGACAGCTAGCCAGTGGCGGGATCGGAAAGGTAGTTCTTGAGAAAAGCCCTCGTCCAGCCTTGCCCTCCTCTCCTCTCCCCACCCCGCTGACAATCTCCTGGGCTCTGAGCTGCTGACAGCCTCATGGGCTGACTGTCAGCACACGGCGTGAGTAATTTTAGCTGAGTTATTTCAGGCTCCTGTTCTGATCAGGGTTGAGCCGGCCCCACGCATGCCCTAGCCAGTGGTGCTTCAGAGTTGCCTGCTCCCAGGTCCCCCACCCCCAACACTGAAAGAGAGGGGGTGGCAGACCCATCTATCTGCTGTTTCTTTAACCCTTTGGGGCTGAGAGAGCTCTGATCCCTTGGAGGTTTGTCCCCTGATCATCTAAAACATCTTAGCAAATGATGCTGGTATTCCTTGACCTGGCACTTCTTCCCTCCCCAACCCCTTTCAGCAGCCTGAATAGCAGGGATCAGGGCAAGACTTTACCTTCTGCCAGGCTACCCACCATTGCCTGGCCCAGCCTGCTGTCCCCAGGATCCTCTGAGTCCCTGGCCAGGCAGGGAAGATTCTCCCAGCCTCTAATCAGCCCCCAGGAGCTGAGCTCACTGGAAGCAATTCCACCTGTCAGTAGCGCTTCAGAATGGCAGGCAGGACATTTGAGTTGTTCACAATCAAGGGTCAAAACTCAGGGTGTCTTGTCCTTTAACTTTTGCAAAACCTCCTTAAAACGCATGTGATGATAATGGCTTTATCCGTGGACATCTAGGAGTACAAATGTAGGTCACCTGAGGTGCCTGATTTTAGGGCTTGAAATTTGCTGCAGTCAGGAGGCAAGGAATACCTCTAGCTGCGGGACCTCCCTGCCTTGGGTTCTGATGCAGTTGCTAAGGAGTGGAGCAGAGGATGAGGCATGCTGTGGGGCAGGCTGGGGAAGTGCTTACACATGGTCCAGACTGCCGGGTCTTGGGGAATGTTCTCATTGTCCCCAGTGTCCTATTCTCAACCCTTTTCCCTCCAACTGACCCAGCCTGAGAGGGCCAGCACACACACCCTGCTTCTGGCTGCCCCAGCCCCGTCACACACCCCCTCTCGGCATCAGTCTTACCTATGTCCTGTGTGTTCTCTGTTTACAGAATTCTAAGAGTGCCCAGGGTCTGGCTGGTCTCCGGAACCTTGGGAACACGGTGAGTGCCTCTCAGCCCCCTTCTTGGCAAGGCCACCTCCTGCTGTCTCCTGCTAGTGATGACCCTAATGGGATCCTCTCCTGGCTCCAGCTGACCCCCTACCCTTTAGGCAGGTGGTGCCTGTCCTTTCCTGGCTGGAATTGAACCCTAGCAGGGAACGCTGCTGAAAGTCAGGTACCCTTGTACCTGTCAGCTTGCCATGCTCCTGGATCCTGCTCAAGGACACCCCAACCACCATAGCTTTTGCCCCACGCCCCACATCCCTCTGCACATCTCACTACTAAATAAATGAGTGACAGCACCTGTGCCGGTTGTGGACATTTGCCTCCCTCCGGGATCCCTTTGCCGGGTGGATGAGCCAGACGGCCCAGGAGCGGGGGGTGGGTGGAGAGTCTTGTGCACACGCTGATGATCTGATGGGCCCGTGCAGTGCTTCATGAACTCGATTCTTCAGTGCCTGAGCAACACCCGGGAGCTGCGAGACTACTGCCTGCAGAGGCTGTACCTGCGCGACCTGAGCCACAGCAGCAACGCCCATGGCGCCCTCATGGAAGGTGAGCAGCCATGCCACGCAGGAGCAGGGCCACAGGCTGTCTCCCTGCCCTAGCCTGTGCCTCGTTGGGATTCAGAGTTTTTCTGTTTTGTTTTTTAATGTTATTTTAATATTGTTTACGTAATTGAAAGCAATGTCTACCCATGTGGGCCTTAGGATTCAGTTTCTTGGGGAAAGATAGTTCACCTGTACCTCCTCACCCCATCTCTGCCTCTCCCTCCGATAGAGTTTGCAAAACTAATCCAGGCCATCTGGACTTCATCCCCAAATGACGTGGTGAGCCCCTCCGAGTTCAAGACCCAGATCCAGAGATACGCACCACGCTTCGTTGGCTATAAGTAAGATGGGGCCCATCCGGGGCAGCTCGTGGTGTTCTGGGTTCTCGGGACTGCAGGCCTCTCACTGTCCCCCTGGGCTTCAGTCAGCAGGATGCTCAGGAGTTTCTTCGCTTCCTTCTGGACGGACTGCACAATGGGGTGAACCGGGTCACGGCGAGGCCCAGGTCCACCCCTGAGAACCTCGACCACCTGCCGTAAGTCAGAGGGCAACACCACCGCAGGGGAGGCGCAGGGTTGGGGAACTCAGGTAGGGTCCATTACTTCCAGCATAGAGTCAGATTTCACTTGTGAAAATGAAGGACCTGGCTGAGTGAGTTCGCACATTCCACGTACTTGAGCTCTGACCCACGCCCCTCTCCCCTCTGATTCCCAGTGATGATGAGAAAGGGCGACAGATGTGGAGGAAGTATCTGGAACGGGAAGACAGCCGGATCGGGGGTAAGCGTGGGGATGGGAGTCATGCCCTGCTGTCCGTTCACTGCTTTCGCCTACATGGAGCACAGAATGCCTCAAGGATGGGTCTTCTCCCGAGGAACCCCATTTTTGCCCAGTGTCCATCAAGCCAAGACAGGGGCCATGAGAGAAGATCCTGCGACGGACCCTGTGCGTAACTTCCTGTGTTTCCTTCCTTCCCGGCTTCATCTTTCCCAGATCTTTTTGTTGGGCAGCTGAAGAGCTCCCTGACCTGTACGGATTGTGGTTACTGTTCTACAGTCTTCGATCCCTTCTGGGACCTCTCCCTGCCCATCACAAAGGTACACCTCCCTCCCCCACCCTGCAGCTCTCAACGCCTGCGCTGTCCTGTCACTGACCCCTCACCGGTACTCGTTGCTTCCACAGCGAGGTTATCCTGAGGTGACGCTGATGGACTGCATGCGGCTCTTTACCAAAGAGGACGTGCTTGATGGTGATGAGAAGCCAGTAAGTCCTGCTGGTTGTAGCGAGAGCACATCTCCCTGGGACCCACCTGTTGGGAGAAGGCCAATTCAACCAAGGACCAGCTGGATGCGAGCTAGGTTTTGTTGTTACAAAGATTTACTTACTTGACAGAAGAGGGAAGGGACACATCTTCCATCAGCTGGTTCACTTCAGGCAAGGCTGGCCAGGCCAGAGCTAAGAGCCTGAGCTCCGTCTGGGTCTCCCACGTGGGTGGCAGGGGCCCAAGTACCACTTGGACCATCACCTGCTGCTTCCCAGCTGGGAGTTGAACTGGTGCCCCAGTGTGGGATGCTGTCACAAGCAGTGGCTTAACCTACCGCATCACGGGGCCCACCCCAGATTTTGGTTATCGATTTCTCCTATAAGCTCCTTCTAGTGCTGTCCATCTCATCTTTTCAGACATGCTGTCGCTGCCGAGCCAGAAAGCGGTGTATAAAGAAATTCTCCATCCAGAGGTTCCCAAAGATCTTGGTGCTCCGTATCCTTTAATTCTGTTGTGGGTAGGGGACGAGAGGCCAGTAGGCGGGGAGAACGAACAGATGCCCAGTTGTCTGGCCCCAAAGGAAGTGAGATTGACATCCAGAGCTTGCTCTCCTTTGCTTGACTCTGCCCTTGCTGTGTCATCTGCCCTTGACCCACAACAATCCCAGATCTGAAGCGGTTCTCGGAATCCAGGATACGAACCAGCAAGCTCACAACTTTTGTGAATTTCCCACTAAGAGACCTGGACTTGAGAGAATTCGCCTCAGAAAACACCAGTGAGTATCTCAGAGCAGGAAGAGATACATGGAAGCACGGTGGGGTAGTAAAGAGGTGGAGGATGACCCCGGGTGTGACATCATCCTGTCTGTCCTCCCCAGACCATGCTGTTTACAACCTGTACGCTGTGTCCAACCACTCCGGAACCACCATGGGCGGCCATTACACTGCCTACTGCCGAAGTCCAGCGACAGGCGAATGGCACACCTTCAATGACTCCAGGTGAGAACAGGCCTTGCAGGGCTACAGGCCGACACACACCTGAACCTTGCTCGCCTGCATGGCATGCACCTGAAGTGGGCTCTGTGACTGCCCTGGGTCTGCCACTGCCTGCCACAGGCTCTCTGGGTCAGAGGTCGTATGGGTGCATGGTAGGGAGGCCCGAGGTGACATAGCCTTCCAGGCCCTCCACCCTTCTGCTCTGTGCCCCCCGTGCCAGGCCCCTGACCATGCTTTGTCTCTCTGCAGCGTCACACCCATGTCCTCCAGCCAAGTGCGCACCAGCGACGCCTATTTGCTCTTCTATGAATTGGCTAGTCCACCTTCCCGTATGTAGCAGCAAGGAACTGCACCCCTTCTCCCTTCCCTGTGGTGGCCCGACACCCTAAGTTTTTTAAAAAGACAACAACAAAAAAACCAAAAAATGAAAAAAAAAACCTTGACAAATAAGAGAAAAATAAACTAAAATAAACTGCCGAGCAGGAGTTGCTGCAGCCTGTCGGGGTCTGGAGCAAGGAGCCGGGTGCTCCCGAGCCATGGCCTGGTAGGGAAGATGGACTGGACACGGAGACCACAGTCAGCACAGAGCTCCCTCGGCTTCTCCTGTTTGCATTGTTAAGCTTCTGGTTTTGTCCCGTGTAATAAGCAACGCCATCTGTGGGGAGAAGACCCGTGTCTGCCTGCTGCCCTCTCCAGCCCCTGCGCCTTCTGAGAAGACAGCGCCCTCTGGAGTCTGCTGGGAGCATCACTGCTGGGAAGGCGGCACCCAGGAATTCGGGTGCCCATTTCCACTTGGGCCTGTGCACTTGGTCCAGAACAGAGAGCCCTCTTCAGGGGGACAGACAAGGAGACATCTTGGCAAAAAGCTGTTTTTAGTTTTTAAAAATTCCACCTTTTTGTTGTTGTTAATGACCCTAAGGTTTTCTGATTGAAGATGCCTCCTTCGCACCCGCCCAGCTGGGATGGTGTATTAGTCTTTTTTTTCCCCCCTTAAAGTACAGCTTTCTAACACTAGCCCTGCCCATGGTGCTCTGTTGGTGTGTCTGCCAGGCCCACGCACAGCCACAGTAGACCTGGGATCTAAACAAGTTTCGGTTGTAGCTTTTGCTTTTGTTTTTTTGTTTTTTGGTTTTTTTTTAATGTTCTGGATGGAATCTAGTTGCCTCCAAGAATTGTGCCTTATTGCATTTGGGGACCAGGGGGTAACTGTCCCTCCCTGAAATAGCCCTCTTCTTCTCCCTTCTCCCCAGTGCCATGTTCGAACCCACTGGGTGAAGGAGGGGTCATGCCCTTAGCCCCTGGTGGCGGCAGGCACTGCAGTAAGGCGAGGAGGAAGCGGGCTGGTGCAGGGAGGTCTCGCAGCACAGTGTATCCAGGGTTTCTGGCCACGCCCCCTGGCCCACCCCACCCCAGCTGTTCGAAGGTCAACAGCACAAGCCCTGAGCTGCTCTCACCTTTTAATTTATTCTCTCCTTTACATCCCTCCATCCCCAGTCCTCCTGCCCCTCCTCAGAGCCTCCTAGACAGAGGCCCTCTGGACCGAGTTTCTCAGGGATGCCCATGCCACCTGCCCCTCCAAGTTCCTCTGGCATCGGTCTCCAGTCAGTCCTGCACCAGGAGCTGGTTTGGGGTGGGGCTGGGGACATCTTGCTTCGTTGGACAAGCCTTTTCCAGGGGCTTGATGTCACCCAAAGTCACTGGGCAAAACTGCTCAGCCCCAGAGAACAGAGCTGTTCTGCACCACAATGTGGGGTCCTGTGTACTCTGCACTCCGCTTCCCCCGCCCCTTGTGGCCTGGGCCATCCCAGGAGGAGGCACCCAAGAGAGACACCCTGAGTTGAACTGGCCTAACACCCTTCTCCAGGAAAGCCCTGGGAGACCTGAGCCCGAGGGCCGGTGCACCTTGTTACCTTGTTTACTGTGTAAGCAAGCATAGAATGTCTCGTGTACAGTGGTACCTTGTACAGAATAAATCCTAGCTTTGAGAACTAAGGTGCTGAGTGACAGTCTTGATTTGGGATGGGTTGGAACACAGGAGGGACTCCTGGCGTGTTGATAGCCACATATGCAGGCGGTTCAGAAAGTTTACAGGGGTTGTAGCGAGATGGCTCAGTGAACTAAATCCTCGCCTTGCATGTGCTGGGATCCCATATGGACACTGGTTCGTATCCCGGCTGCTCCACTTCCCATCCAACCTCCTGCTTGTGGCCTGGGAAAGCAGTAAAGGATCATCCCATGTAGGAGTCCCAAAAGAAACCCCCTGGCTTTGGGTTGGCTGTGCTCCAACCATTGCAGCTACTTGGGGAGTGAACCAGCAGAGAGAGGATCTTTCTGGAAATCTGCCTTTTCAATAAAAATTAAAATTTGGGGGAAACAAAAAAAAAAAAAAACATGGGAATCAAAAAATTAGGGATGAGCCTTTGACCTAGTGGCTCAGGCCCTGCTTAGGACGGCTCATGCCCCACCTAAGAGTAACTGGGTTTGAGTCCCCCCTTTGGCTCACGAGTCTGTTGCATGATGGTTAAAAGAAAATTTCAGTTTTTGTCTCACATTGAAGAATTTCTGTGCACAACAAGGCAAACTGTTTTGGTTTATAAAGGATTGATATTTTGGGCCCGGTGCAGTCACTTAGTGGCTAAAGCCCTCGCCTTGCATGCACTGAGAACCCATATGCGCACCAGTGTTGGGGACTTAAGCCACTATGCTACTGCGCTGGGCTCTTTCTCTTCTTCACCTGGATTCTCCAATATCCAACTTTCTACCATATGTGTCTCTAGATACTTTGGGGTGAGGTGCTACATTCCCCTTTTAGATGCCCCAGCATCTACCTGGTAAGGACATGCCCGTCCCTGGTGGCAGTTCGCACCTAGGGAAATGAATGTCTTAGGTGCACAGCTCTGGAATCGCTCAGCCACGTCTCAGCTGCTGCTGCGAATCCTGTCGGCTTCGGTGCCTGCACAGACTTGCTGGGCCTTGAAGCAGGGTCTCCAGCAAACCACACCGAGAGCAGGGACTGTCACCCGTGCGAGGAGGGGCCGGGACTCAGCCCTTGACAGATGAAGGGTCCGTTTCCTCTCCCACACCTCAACAGCTGCCTTCCTGCTCAAAATTCTCCCTGCAGTGCTTCCCGCCCCCGCCTCGCCTCCCGGGACTCGAGCCTGAATCCCTCTGGGGCAGCAGGAGCACGTGTCTTCACATTGATCTCTTCATCTTTGGTCAGAACTGTTCAGCCTTTTCTGCCACTGATCTTGGAACTGGGGAAGCTCACGTCAGCCCTGGGCGAGCATTGGTGGGTTTCCTGGGAATGCTCCCTGCCAGCCCTGCTGCGGACACTAAGCCAAGGCCATTGTACTGGCCATCGCTGCCGACATGGAAACACCTGCTGTCACCGGAGGTCTGTGTGCAGCTTAGCACGTCCAGCACACGGCAAAGGACAGAAGTAAGGATTTTTTTTTCTGGTCATTTCTCAAGAATGGCAAAGGCCAGCTGAAGACAATAGTGACAAACCTGGGATTTCTCCCTAAGGAGGTTTTGTATCCAAGAGAACAATTTTTTTATTTTTACTTTTTTAAAAAAGATTTATTTATTGCAAAGTCAGATATCCAGAGAGGAAGATCTTCCGCCCAATGATTTACTCCCCAAGTGACCGCAACGGCCGGTGCTGCACCGATCCAAAGCCAGGAGCCAGGAACCTCCTCCAGATCCCCCACATGGGCACAGGGTCCCAAGGCCCCGGGCCATTCTCAACTACCTGCCCAGGTCACAAGCAGGGAGCTGGATGGGAAGTGGAGCCGCCAGGATTAGAATCAGCACCCAGATGGGATCCCGGCGCGTTCAAGGCGAGGACTTTAGCTGCTAGGCCAATGCGCCGGGCCCAATTTTTTTTTTTTTTAAGATTTATTTGAAAGCTAGAGCTATGAAGAAAGAACTATTGAATCTGCTGGTTTACTCCTCAAGAGGCTGCAGTAGCTGGAGCTGGGCTAGTCTGAGGCCAGAGGCCAGGAGCATCTTCTGAGTCTCCCACCTGGATGCAGGAACTCTGCACTTGGACCACGCTCTGCTGCTTTCCAAGGGACATTAGCAGGGAGCTGGGTTGGAAGTGGAGCAACCAGGACTCAAGCTGTGCCCCATAGAGGATCCAGCTGGCAATTTTACCTGCTACATCACAGCACCAATCCTATTTATTTATTTGTTTGAAAGAAGGAGTGATGGGGAGGGTCAAAGACACAGCGCCTCCATCTGCTGAGTCATTCCCTAAATGTCCAGAGCTGGACCAGGTGGAAGCCAGAAGGCTGGAACTCCAAGTTTCCCATCTGGGTATCAGGGACCCAAGGACTTGGTCCATTTGTTGCTGCTTTCCAAAAACACATTAGGAGGAAGCTGCATTGGAAACAGCACATAGAACTCAAACCAGTGCTGTGATATGGGATGCCAACATTGCAAGAGGTGGCTTAAGATGCTGTGCCACAACACCAGCGCAAGGAAAAATTTCTTTTTAAGATTTTATTTTTATTGGAAAGGCCGAGATACAGAGAAGAAGAGAGACAGAGAGGAAGTTCTTCTATCTGGTGATTTACTCCCCAAGTGGCCACAACAGTTGGAGCTGCACCAATCCAAAGGCAGGAGTCAGGAGCTTCTTCCAGGTCTCCCATGCAGGTGCAGGGTCCCAAGGCTTTGGGCCGTCCTCAACTGCTTTCCCAGGCCACAAGCAGGGAGCTGGATGGGAAGTGGAGCTGCCGGGATTAGAACCAGTATCCATATGGGATCCTGGCACCTTCAAGGGGAGGACTTTAGCGGCTACACTATCTGCCAGGCCAAAGGATAACATTTTAAATGCTGCTAATTCTCCACAAGTCGTGGGTAAACAGGATCTCCCCAAAATGGTTGCAGCACCCCAGATCCACATGGGTGTCTGTCTCTCCGTTAACCAGCTTGGCACTGGTTGCAGCACAAGCACCGCAGGTAAGCCAAGGGCAAGGGCGCATCTCCAGCCCTCACCCTTGCTCCCAAGCCTGCTGGCAACCCCGCGCGCTTCTCAATCCCTGACAACAGGCGCCTCAAACACAAACGGCCCCGTTCTTGATCCAACAGGCTTTTTGCGCTTGTGCTGGCGTCCCAGCTGGCCTCTCCCCAGCGGAGGTGCGCCCCCTGGCGACTGCCCTTGCGTGTGACCTTGAGCAACCACCCTCTGTGGGCTTCATGCCACCTCTGCGCCTTAATTAAGGAGGCTGGGCTCCAGGGCCTTGCAACTCTCCCGTGCTCCTTTCCGTCAGTGACCCACACGAGGGACGTCACGTATCACTGGCTACCTAGTTCAACTTCATAGAGTGGGGTTTTTGGTTTTTTTTATTTAGCTTTTTAAGTGATCTGTGCTCAAACGTGCTTGTCTCTGTGAAGCCTC